TTTCTGAACGATGTCTTCTATATCTTGTTGGACTCCCGGTGTGGCACAAGTCAAAAAAAGAGATTCTGTTGTGACTGGTTGTTATTGGTGTATGACTTGGTATGAAGTTACTGTTGTACTATTGCACTTTGGTCCGTTTATAATGTCACCTTTTAATTCTGTCACACGGAATCAGGAAATAAGTTACTCAGTGTCACGTTTGCCAGTATGTCAGCATTCTTCCGTGTTCTCTGCATCTCTGGAGTTACTTTGTATTTTCATCGATAAAGACGTTTGCTTTTCAACTTCTGTGTCATGTCTACTTTAACCCCACGCGTGGCAGTACATTCTGACCAGTCAAGGCCAAGCAGATTCCGTCAGAATCCGTCGAGCCTCACGCGTCACCTATTGCTCCGAACCATCCCTCAGTCTCGGATCAGGGGGTGATCGTTTCACCGGTTGCTGCTTCGACTTTTCACCATCAACCCCTCGTGTCATTCCTCCTCGATGGGTCACCCAGGGCGTCACAAGCCATACTTTGCCCTCAGCCTCATGCCGACCACCCCAGCTCTTTGTGAAGCGCACTTTTCCTCCATGTCTCTCTCTCACCTGTGCCGTCCACTTGCCCTCACGTTTCCCTTCTATTTTTACCGCTACGTTTTCTTTTCAGTTTCTCACTTTTCTGACTGCGAAGATGGCGCCGATTTGGTTTTCTTGGTCCCCAGTTGCAAATCACGCCCTTGTCAGTTTTTGTGACGATCCCTCAGTGTCTACCCCAGAAGTGAAAAAGTCTGCAGGAAAGGCCAAGAAAAGCATTTTTCAAAGAAGGATGCAACAGCCTGGTGAAATTAATGAATCACAGGCGTTACACAGCTATTGCAAGTTAAGGGTTATGCCATCAAATATTAAATGTCATTCACTTTTTAGCTCACTTGGAAAGTTTGTGCCTTCAAAGAAAATGTTCTCTGTCCTGAGTTGTTGAAGACATCTAGTTGTAAACACCCCGAATTAAAAGCTGGCCTTCTGAGCTTCTGTTTGACATTCATCTTTTGATCAGAAACCCAAAAGTCTTCAATATGCTGTCCGCTGTTGAACAGCGCCTTCCAATGTTCTTGTATATCTCCTCCTGCTGTCCCAAACAAGTCATTACAGTTATCGGATTACTCCAGGCCCAGAAGAATGTTCGAGCAATGCCGTGAACAATGTGTAACATCCATCCATCCATTTTCTGATCCGCTTCATCCTCACAAGAGTCGCGCGGCATGCTGGAGCCGATCCCAGCTGCCTTCGGCAAATAGGCGATGTACAACAACCTGAACCGTTTGCCATCTAATCGCAGGGCACACAGAGACAAACAACCATCTGCGCGAACACTCACACCTCGGGGCAATTTTAAATGTTCAATCAGCCTGTTATGCACGTTTTTGGAATGTGGCAGAAAACCGGAGTGCCTGGAGAAAACCCAAGCAGGCACGGAGAAAACATGCAAACTCCACATAGGAAGGCCGGAGCTGGAATCGAACCCGGTGCCTCTGCACTGTGAGGTCGATGCGCGAACCACTCAATCACCGAGCCGCCCCATGTGTAACATGTACAGGGTTTTAAATAATATTACATTTTTGAAACACTTAAGACCGTCAAACATTTTTAACACTAAAAAATGGTCGAAAAAGGCAGTAGGATACTGGTCACAACTTGACACTTTAAGTTTCTGAGTAGCACAGCGGCACCACCGACAGTGGAGTCTCGTCCCCGAACAGTTTTTACTGAGTGCGAAGAGCTTCTGAAGCAGTCAAGAGAATATGAATGAAATGACATCTCCAGCACGGGTGTTCGATTCAAGGCCCGCGGGCCACATGAGGCCCGCCACACCATTTTAAGTGGCCCACGAAAGTAAATCAAAGATGACAACTTCCATGATGCTTGCTAAAATCTGACAAACATTTTCCTGTGACCAAAGCCATCATTACACTGAAACAATCATTGAATACAACTTTATTCTTGACTTCTTGAAATAGTTTCAGGCATAAGGGCCCCTCCAAAGGAAACGGTAAATATGTGGCCCGCAACAAAAATGAGTTTGACACCCCCGCTGTAGTTTTGTCTGCAAAGAATTTTCCCGTGAAAGGGAGACCAAGGTTTTTAGCAGAACGCATGAATCCAAAGAGGCTTTTCAACAATCCATTTTAAGGCAACTACCAACCTCGCAGGATGCGAATTGTAATTTTGAAGCCCATATATTAACCCCAAGCCGTTTGTGCTTAACACCCATTTATGAAAAACTTTCTAGGACAGGGACGTCAAACTCATTTTTTAGCGCGGGCCACTTTGGAGTTAAGTTTTCCCTCAGAGGGCCATTACGACAGTGAAACCGAATGTTTCATCGTCACATTGTATTATTACCTGAACACAACAAATCAAATTGAATACAAAGCTAGTAATCAATCAGTCAACCGTTTGCTCAATTATTGTTCAAGTGAGTGTAGTAACCAGGGTAAAAAAAAAATGTGGCAAAATTTCAACTTTATTACACATGACAATTTGACATTTCAGTCCAGATTTGAACATCTGTCATGGAAGTTGACACACGATTTGCTTTCATGGGCCACAAAATGAGGTGCGCATGCATTATGGGGAAGACAATTGCCAAACGGAAATCATACAACCTGCAGTAAAGGATGCCGTCAAGCTGAAGGAGTCCGATCAGGGCGATCAAATACTTCTGACAACTATGCATCTCGAGATTTGTCATAATCTCATACCGCAGCACAGCCACGACACTCGTGAGGAGGATAGAGGAACGGACAAGCGACTTGAAGCGATTTTACACACCTGCAAAGCTGCAAAAAGGTAGGCAAGTCCGGAGCCCTCGAACCAAAACAATGTCTGCGAAAGGAAGGAAAAATCGTCTGGCGGCCAAGCCTGAGGGGAGAATTTTAGTGCCGACATTTTTTTTTTCTTTTTACAGAAGTACCAACGTCCAGGCTATTCTGCAAACGGAATTATCCGGAGAGGGGTGGATCCCACAAACGTTAGCCAAGGATAGGATGATGGACCAAAAAAAACGTTTATTAACAAAACGCAAGGCCGACAAAGTACAGATACAGATGAAACAAAAGGCGCTTGCGAAAGGCAAGGAAAATACAAACGGAAATTGCTCTTCTCGAAAGAAGATGATCACATCACAAGAAATACCGACGGACGAGAATTTAACAAACTAAATGACTACTTTCAAGAAAACGGGGATCAAGAAACAAGTAACGATAAAAACGAAACAGAACCTGGAGAGTCGAGAAAAGTGGACATGAACAAAGGCTTGAGCAAGGTGAATTGGAAGTTTAGTGGTTCTTAACCTGGGTCCGGTGAATCGGTCTCAAGGGTTCGACGGAGCCTCTGCCAAGGAGGTCCAGACAATACCTTACTCAACATGTCAATTAGTTATGACACGCCTGCTTGGCCATCACTGGCTGCAGATGATCTATATTACATTGCTTGTCCAATCAGTGCTGCGGGAAATTTAGTTCTCTCAGTAGTCAACGCGTGACTGTCGTGATAGTACGTCGTAAAATTGAAAAAAACTTAGACTTATGTCTTGAAATTGTATTTACTTTTTCATTTTTTGAACAAATGCGTTTTTTATGTCTTGAATTTGGAAAAGTCAGACTTGTGTTTTTCGCAAAGGAAGAGTTCGGTGAATGTGTATATGCACTGGTTGGGTTAAGAACCACTGCCTTAAATAGTCCTTTGATCATGATGAGTAACAGGTGTGCAGCTGGAAAGACCGAAACACCTCTGCCACCTGGTGGAGACTAACAGAAACGGAATCAAGACACATTCAAAGGTCCATCGGAAGCACACCGTTCACTGAGGTCCTTGCCAAAACATCAAGGATGATTAACTTTTATATCTATGTTTGTGAGAATATAAAATTGATGGAGTGCTTGCATGAGCAAGAATTTTTCCAAGACTCTTAACCACATTTGAAGTCCAAGGATATATGACTGATGTGCCCCGTGAGTGACTGGCAACCAGTTCAGAGTGCAGTCGGTCCTCCGTCCGAAGTCATCTGGGGTAAGCTCCAGCACGCCACCCCACTCACCCAGTCCAGTTCAGGATAAGCAGTGTTGAAAATGGATGGGTGGATAGATAATTGACTCAGGCAGGCGAGACACAAAGTTCAACCCTGTAGTGACTTCTATGTATGTACATAATTCACCACCAACTGCAAATGTGTGAATGCAATGTTGATATGCTTGTCAGAGAGTTCACGATTATTTGGTAACGGGGTAGAAATAATTGCAGTCCCTTTAAGGACCGCCATTTTAGTCTGCTTGTTTCTATGGAAACTGACTTTCGGCGGGCTTCGTTTGGCGCGAGTGTTTTTTTTTGGTGTGCTCATAAAAAAACACGACACACTCTCTCTCTGAGTGCGCACGTGAGAAATTGTCGCTTTCTTCGAGTTCTACAATTTCCACAACCCTTTATTTAAAGTAATGACCCATCTGAAGTCCCTCTCGTCTGACATTGTTTTACCAAGAAACTCACTTCTTCTTGCATGGCCACAATTTCATCAGGGGCGACTCTGCCTAAAATCTGAATTGATATTTATGGTCCTAACTTCAACCAGAAAGGTGTTCTCCCGAATAAATAATATCTCACAAACGAATTTAATTTTAGGAGCTAATCTGAACTGTTCTTGGATATCTCCTGTACGAAACAGGCTTCATGTTCAATTACTTATTAAAAGGATACATGAGTCACTCCAACAGAGAACACACCCGCATTGACTTCTGATAGATTCAAACATTTTGTGAATGTTTGTTTTTGGTTATCCAAACATTAGTTAGAATCAAAACCAAAACTAACATTTTGAGAACGTTCCATGGCAGTTACGCAGCCCGAGTAACACTGAACGTCAAGAGAAGGTTATCCGACAATGAATTTTTGGATATTGTGGAAATTGTAAAAACTCAAAGAAATTTCTCACGTTCACACACTGAGAGAGTGTGTCGTTTATTTAGCACACCAAAAAAGCTCCCGCGCAAACTGAGACCCGTCGAAAGTAAGTTTCCATAGAAACAAGCAAACTAAACATGGCGGTCCTGAAAGGGACTGCAATTACTCCTACCCAGTTACCAAATGACCGTGACAAGCATATGAAAAAACATTGCATTCACACATTTGCAGTTGGTGGTAAATTATGTATATAGAAGTCACTACAATATTGCTTGCCATGCAAGTTAACAAGAGTTTAATGCTGTACCGTTGCAGTTCGTGACAACATAGTTCTGTCTCTCAGTGTTTGCACATTTTTCGCAATTGTCTTCAACCAAATGTACTTTTTACAAACAAATCTCTGAATTCACTTTGCATCTTTGTTGTTCACAGTAGTGATGCAGGCAGGCTGTGATGTAGACTTACAGAGCCAGATGTTCACTTGCACATGTACAATGTTTTAAACAAAATGTATTATTCAGAATGCACCACTTCACAGATATATGCAATTTTAGCATACACTGAAGTTTTGGCAGATGCTATGAAGCTACAATGATGTATTCAGGACAAAGTTATTTCCCTCATGAGAAAGTGGTGTTGATGTCTCGTCCTCTTCTGCCTCAATTTTCTTTTTGAAAACATCCAACACATCCCAGGACTGAGGAATAACATTGTGATTGAAGCCAAGCTGGACCAGGCAAGACACAAGAACGACAACCGCCAGAGAAATGAACGCAATCAGAGTCCTGAAGGGAAAGTACTGCGTGATGACGCCATCATCTTCCCTCCAGCCCGGGTAGAGCAGCACAGGAGGGATGCCGAGTGCTGGGTCGCCGCTCAGCACACGCAGCAGCAGAGCGACCGTGTAGCCACTGATGGCGCCATAGCAATTGGCAGATCGGAGGAGCCCCACACAGGTCAACTGTGGGGTCACAACACAGTAGAGTAGGTCAGCAATGAGCATCCAGAGAGCAAGGATGCTACTCCTATTGAATGCCAGACCGGCCCCAGCCAGGCCCACCAGCAACACACAAATCCTGGTGACGCACTGCAGCTCTCTGTCTGATGCCTGTGGGTAAGCACACATCATGAAATTGCTCTGCTGAAGTGCAAAACCACTCACTGACATAAACACACACCTGCTTTCTCAAAGTCGTCTTGTATATGTTTTGCGTGAACATGGACGCCGATGACAGCAATGCCGAGTCCATGGATGACATCACTGCTGCTGCTATTGCGCCAATGCCCAACACGGACACCCAGGCGGGTGTGATGTAGGACAGGGCCAGTGGCAAGACATTCCCTGCCTCTCCACGCTCATAAGGGGGGGGTAGACCGTATTCTGTCTGGTTCCAGTCTTAGAGAGGAGGAGGCATACAGAATAACTGAGAACTTGTGACACGTTTCTTTAACAACTCTGTTGTCATCACATTGACAGTCGGGTGACACGAGTCGTGGGTCATTCTCCACAAATTCACCTATTTGGGTTTTGTTCCTGTGGGATTTTGTTTTGTTAAAATTGAATTCCAGTTTATCAAACCTTTTAAATCATGTTTGGAAGTGATTAATGACAAAAGCTGTGCTAAAATTTCAATGATTCAGATCATTTACATGTCATTTATGTACAGATGCAAAAGTATAGGTCCCAACATTGACCCCAGGAGGACACCATGTGTTACATCAAAAACACTGATTTGTACTATTCTAGTTTCACAAATGAGCGCCTACTCAGCACTACCATTCCAAGTTTTTCCTTCAAAGGCCAAACTTAGCGGTGACAATATTGAGCAGCGATAACATGTCCGATCTGTGTCACAGACCTTTTTCCAAGAGAGGGATGTAATTTTTACAGACACAACACAAATTTACAAGGAGGTTAACAATCACCCAGGATTATCTTTTTGAGAATTCAGACAATTGGACCTTGGGTTTTGTTCATTGTCGACAGGTGCGGCTACACAAGTTTAACTCTTTGTGGCCGAGCGCATCTTCCGTACCTGCTGAAGCAGCTGTAGCTCCAATGATCACTGATGGGATTCCCATAATAAAAGCAAAAGCTGCAGCAGCAAAGCAGGACACCTGAGCCTTGGATGAGGAGGCCGCCGCGAGGATCCTCTGGTGTAAGGATTGGCATGAAAGTCCACCTAAAGCCTACAATAAAGAGTAGAAAGTCACATCACTTCAACATGCAACAACGTTGAAAAACAATGAAAATTTTTTTTTTGTAATATTTTGTGCATGTCAATACTTCGTTTTTTTTCTACTTTCGGCCCTCCAAATTTTGCTGCTGTAGATTGCAAATTTCTCCATTGTCAGACAATAAAGGTTTGCTTATCGGAAGTTTTAAGCAAAAAAGTAAGGGAAACCTTTCGAAGTATCTGGATTCCTTCATCAAGTGACTATGGATTGTTGGAGAATGACACAAGACAAAGTAAAATATCTGACCACCATGAGAAAGTCATCAGTCCATTTTCCTGCATCTTCAAGCTTCACCTCTCCTATCCAAGAGTGGACGTTTGACTCATTGAGATGGATTGTTTGTGAAAGGTCAGTCACCGCGGGGCTGAGAAACATGAATGGGATACAGAGCCACTAAAACAAAAACAAAACACTTGTTTAGTGAAAAGAAATTACAGCCAAAACGGACGGCATTGACACTCTCAGATGGAACGACTGCGCGCGCGCGCACACACACACACACACACACACACACACACACACACACACACACACACACACACACACACACACACACACACGGCAATTGCGCAATTTTCTTGACAGCTCACCAGACTGACAAATATGAAGGACAGTTGGATGACATCGGTGTACGCAACTGCGTACAGGCCTCCGAGAACAGTGTAGATAATGGAGACAGCCGCAGAGATCAGGATGGAGAGTGTTGGCGATAGATCAAGGATGATGCTCATTGTTGCCCCTGGATATTATACACAATACAACAAGAAAAATAGCATTAAAAAATCTACACACACACACACACACACACACACACACACACACACACACACACACACACACACACACACCCCACATTCCCCCCACTATACCGTATTTTCCGCACTATATGGCGCACCAAAAAGTCTAAGTGCTGTGATTAGGTCACTTCGGTCCCTTCTGAAGAGCTCGGTCCAAACCTCACCGCCCGTGGCTGTCCAAGCAGAATCACCAGATGGAATATGTGTTTTGTTTGCAATGGTTTTTGTGGAAGCTGTGTTTACTTTGACTTTAAGCTGTGAGTGACTATAACAGCTCGAAGCCTCTTTTGTTTCTCTACTTACAACACCCACATTTCTGCTTTTTGTGAAGTGAGTTGGTTTGCCGCATTGCTCATATCTCAAGGTTTTGCTTTTCAGTTGAGCCAAAACAAAAAAAAAATAGGTAATAAACCGAATGACGTCTTGTTTCTTGAAAAACCCATTCGTTGACTATTGTTTCAAAGCATCTCAGTATTGTATTATTAAGAAATCAACTCACAAGTGCAATAACATTTCGCTGTCAAATGAAGAGATGTTAAGCCTGCCATTTTGGTTTTTCATATGTTTGTCTTTCAAAACAGAAGAGAACAAGCAATACAGTCATAACCACTTGGTTCAATAAAGAGTACCCTTAGAACCTGGTACTCATTTAACCACATTTCAGCATCTGAGTTTTCTTACCAATTATTATATCCTTCCATCCATCCATTTTCTGATCCGCTTGATCATCACAAGGACCGGAGCCTATCCCAGCTGTCTTCCTGCAGTCGGCGGGGAACACCCTGAATTGCAGGGCACACAGAGACAAACAAACATCTGCGCTCACACTCACACCGAGGGGCAATTTTGAATGTTCAATCAGCCTGTCGTGCATGTTTTTGGAATGTGGGAGGAAACCGGAGTACCTGAAGAAAACCCACGCAGGCACAGGGAGAACATGCAAACTCCACACAGAGAGGCCGGAGCTGGAATCGAACCCGGTACCTCTGCACTGTGAAGTCGACGCGCAAACCACTCGATCACCGAGCAGCTCATGTGTAACATGACCAGTGTTTTAAATAGTATTACATTTTTGGAACAATGAATACCGTCAAACATTTTTCACACAAAAAATGGTCGAAAAAGCCAGTAGGACACTGGTCACCACTTGACACTTTAAGTTTCTGAGTAGCACAGCGGCACCACCAACAGTGGAGTCTCGTCCCCTAACAGTTCTCACCGAGTGCGAAGAGCTTCTGAAGAGGTCAGAGAATATGAATTAAATGATCTCGAACGCCGGTGTTAAAATCAAGGCCCGTGGGCCGGATGTGACCCATCACATCATTTTAAGTGGCCCGCGAAAGCAAATCCAAGATGACAACTTCCATGATGCTTGCTAAAATCTGTCCCAAAATTCCAAATTTTCACATGTTGTAAATCATCAAGCATTTTCTTGTGACCAAAGCCCTCATTACACTGAAACAATCGTTGAATACAACTTTATTCTTGACTTCTTGAAATAGTTTCAGGCATAAGGGCCCCTCCAAAGGAAACGGTAAATATGTGGCCCGCAACAAAAATGAGTTTGACACCCCCGCTGTAGTTTTGTCTGCAAAGAATTTTCCCGTGAAAGGGAGACCAAGGTTTTTAGCAGAACGCATGAATCAAAGAGGCTTTTCAACAGTTAATTTTAAGGCAACTACCAAACTCTTAGGATTCCAATTGTAATTTTGAAGTCCATATATTAACCCTAAGCCGTTTGTGATTCACACCCATTTCTGAAAAACTCTCTATGACAGGGACCTCAAACTCATTTTTAGCGTGGGCCACTTTGGAGTCAAGTTTTCCCTCGGAGGGCCATTACGACAGTGAAACCGAATGTTTCATCGTCACATTGTATTATTACCTGAACACAACAAATCAAATTGAATTCAAAGTAATCCATCAGTCAACCGTTTGCTCAATTATTGTCCAAGCGAGTGGAGTAACCAGGGTAAAAAAAAATGTGGGAACATTTCAACTTTATTACACATGACAATTTGACATTTCAGTCCAGATTTGAACATCTGTCATGGAAGTTGATCTCATACCGCAGCACAGCCACGACACTCGTGAGGAGGATAGAGGAACGGACAAGCGACTTGAAGCGATTTTACACACCTGCAAAGCTGCAACAAGGTAGGCAAGTCCGGAACCCTCGAACCAAAACAATGTCTGCGAAAGGAAGACAAGGCTTGAGCAAGGTGAATTGGAAGTTTAGTGGTTCTTAACCTGGGTCCGGTGAATCGGTCTCAAGGGTTCGACGGAGCCTCTGCCAAGGAGGTCCAATACCTTACTCAACATGTCAATTAGTTATGACACGCCTGCTTGGCCATCACTGGCTGCAGATGATCTATATTACATTGCTGTCCAATCAGTGCTGCGGGAAATTTAGTTCTCTCAGTAGTCAACTAGTGACTGTCGTGATAGTACGTCGTAAAATTGAAAAAAACTCAGACTTATGTCTTGAAATTGTATTTACTTTTGCATTTTTAACAAATGCGTTTTTCATGTCTTGAATTTGGAAAAGTCAGACTTGTTTTTTGCAAAGGAAGAGTTCGGTGAATGTGTATATGGACTGGTTGGGTTAAGAACCACTGCCTTAAATAGTCCTTTGATCATGATGAGTAACAGGTGTGCAGCTGGAAAGACCGAAACACCTCTGCCACCTGGTGGAGACTAACAGAAACGGAATCAAGACACATTCAAAGGTCCATCGGAAGCACACCGTTCACTGAGGTCCTTGCCAAAACATCAAGGATGATTAACTTTTATATCTATGTTTGTGAGAATATAAAATTGATGGAGTGCTTGCATGAGCAAGAATTTTTCCAAGACTCTTAACCACATTTGAAGTCCAAGGATATATGACTGATGTGCCCCGTGAGTGACTGGCAACCAGTTCAGAGTGCAGTCGGTCCTCCGCTTGAAGTCAGCTGGGAGAAGCTCCAGCACACCACCCCACTCACCCAGTCCAGTTCAGGATAAGCAGTTGTCACGAAGCGAGGTGGTGGTGGACCCCAAAAAAGCAGGCAGGAGGGAGGAGCAGGTTGTACTTGAAGTGTATTAAAACAGAGAAAACTAAATCTAAAGCAAACATAATCCAAAGGAGCAAACAAAAATCATAACTGAAGCTAAAAGTTTTAGCTTCAGTTATGTGACCAGTGTCCGACTGTGCCGAGGCTCCGATGCTTGTGCCGAGTAAACCGGAAGAAAATCTGCGAAGCGCGCTTCGAGGCATGTGTCGATTACGCTTGTGGCCACGCCCAATGCCTCGAAACGCGCGTTGCTCCGCCCAAAGCGTCGCGAGACGGGATTCCTACGTCACCGCCAACAAATAGTTTCGCGGGTGATTCGAAATAAAACGCCGCAACGGGACGACAATGAGCTGACAGGTGACACTGACTAGAGGTAAGATCGGGCCGCCCGAGCCCGCGGGTCGGGTCTGGCTTCTCTCTCGCTGACTTTTTTTTTTGTTCGTTACGAGGCCGTGGTTCGCCAAAAAACAGAAGTGGCCTCATCACAACACGTACTGTACTAAACTCTCGCAATGACAATTCAAAGAACTCCTTCATGTCTCTATGATCCAGCCGTCATTGTTCTTTGTCTCGCTGCTTATCTTCAAGTGCCGCACTCGATTTTTAAGGACGTACTGCTGCTGTGGTGAATGGCCCAATTTTCACCGTCAAAATGGCGGACGGCCTTAAATTTTCCCCGTCCACCCTTAAAAAAAAATCTGTCAATGATGGAAAATTGTGGAGGGGTTTGTGTGTCCCAATGATCCTAGGAG